CAAACATCTTCGGGCTCAGTGGAAGCATGAGCAACATCGCCACCTTCGTGCACATAGCCGCACGAGAACGCAGAAAACTCCCGTCGGTCCGATGCCCTGTCAAAGTTTAGGTTCATCTACCGTCCCTGCTCATCAGCGCACTTTTAGCCGTTCTGCCTCGACCAGAACTGTAAGACGGCGGCGAGAACAAGAACTATCAGCTCCGAGCCTGTTCGACCCCAAACTGGGTCCTAATCCCCGGCCTCCAGACACTAAGCTCAAGTCACAGGCCGAGGATCTTGGTTTTGAGATGCCCGGTATGCGTAAGCGGGTATACATTATTCCTCACAACCAAGAAGATGTCCATCCGGCTTTGCGAAACCAGCCTGGACTCATACCTTCTCGCTCATCGACAAACGCGTCAAGGCATTATAACGAGTCAATGGCTTCGCATAATCCAGAAAGGACTATCACGCCTGATGATACCATGAGCCTCCCTACCGTTCGCCTTCCTCGGCACCACAATTCGGACGACCGTCCAGCTCCATTACAGATCAGACGCAGGCCTGTGCCACAACCGTCAGTCGCGGGTTCTACCAGGCAGGAGAACTCTTTCCTCAATCCTCCCGCTTCAATGATCTCCCGCCGATCACTCGCAACCACAGCGCACACGATCGCGTCTTACACCGGCGGCCCATCCTCTCGCACGGGATACATAGATCCTCTCGACAACCCGATCTATGACCACATTGAGACGCAAGAAGAGCGCGTGGAGAAGTACAGACAGCTTCTATCTAGCCATCCTGACCCCGAACCGTTCGCTGAATATGAGGATGACAACGCTTCTGTCTTCCCGAAGCCGCAGCGCCAGTCTATGTATTCTGCTTTCGGGGACGCAGGATTCAATTCTGCGCGTTTCGACGTGATCGATGAAGAACTTGCTGAAGATGAGATTGAGGACTGGGAGCGGGGTGAGCCTGAAGACGACGAGGTGCCCCAGGGATGTGCACTGAATGTGGGTATGATATTGGGCAAGGGAAGACGTCGGAGGGCTAGCGATGCCAGTGTGTGTTCTAACGATTTTTATTAGTATGTTTTTTATGTAGATTCTTCCCTTTTTATGCCCCCTTATACGATTTAAACTCTATTCTTTTGGAGTTTTCAGGAGTAAATTGTCTTAACATCATTGATGTGCAGAGCACTCGTCCATTCATCCGTGACGTTGTTCTTTCCTTCTACGATCAGAAGGAATCCTCTCCTCAATGCTGTCCTTCAAAGACACCAAGACTTCCTTGCAAGATGAGTGTACCGGTGATGGAAGTATCGCGCATCAATCATGGTAGGATGGCTATGCGAAGTATCATTCCATCGTGAGAGCCAGTCGAGTGGAATTAACATTGAAGAAATTCGATCGATCAATCGGATGCAATCAACTGCGGCACGCAGTATGGGAATACATATCGTATTTAGTCATCAGACGCCCATCACCTAATGTCCAAGGCTAAAACTGTTGATTTGGTAGCTATCATATTGTTCAGCCAACGATGTCTCCGCCAAACCCGATCGGCCGTCGGACTGGGCCTTGCTTCTTATAGGGCACGATAGCCATAGCTTTGTAGGTTTTACCCATGCCGTTTGGCCCTCTATCGACAAGTCGCTTCCAGCCTGTTTCCAAGCGTCTTCGCGTATCTTCATCCTTAGCAGCCTTAAGTAAGCGATCAGCGCGCTCCTTAATGCCCATTGTCGATAAAAAGAAAGACTGTTCAACGGGTCCGTGAACCTCAACACCCGGAGAAGCATCTAAAGCTGCATCTGCAAGGGCGAGAAAGTCCACATCAGCCGAGAGATCTACCAGACCGGGCGATGCAAAAGGCGAGACAGTGGTATGTGAGCGAATGCCCCGGAGAGTGTTCGCTGGGATAGTATCCAAAGGTCCATAATCCAAGATCAAAGCTGCACCAGACGGCTGCGCTTTTACGAAGCTTTCCTCAACAGGAGCACTTCTGCTCGAGGGAGTATGGGATGCTGAGGTGTTGCTAGGCTTAGGAGCGCTGCCGCCTATCCGTACAGCGAAGTCAGATACGTAGGCAAAAGATTCAGGCGAGATCTCGATGATCGCATCTGGAGTATTCTCTAGCTTCTTGTAGCGATCAGACAACTTCGGCAGGTATAAGGAGTGTGGCGTCGGTGTCTTCGAAACGGTCAATTCGAAGTCCAATTTTTCATCCTCTTTCTTTGGCGAAGAGCCACTTGCGCCCATATCCGAGTACGGCGAAGTTGGCGACACAACCAGCTCATGCCAGGTATTCTTGGGGGTTGTCACGCCGTGCTTGGGTTTGATAGGGCCGGTTGGCGTGATGATGGTCGATGAAGCAGGCACCGAAGATTGAGAGATATTCTGGAAGACGTGGATTGGAAGTGCATCAAAGAACTCGTGGGCTAGTATGAAAGGCGCTGCCGTATGCTCTGTGTATGTTGTCAGTACGCTGTTGATGAAGAGAGTAGAGTCGAGCGCGTACCTTTTGGCACCAGCCTGATGTCTTCGCACCACTCGATCCTGCAGGAAGGCATGTACTTGCATTGTGCGGTTAGACCAATGTCGCTCTTCTTCAGATCATCGGTGTCAGAGAGCAACTTTGCTTGCTGTTTCTGTAGGTAAGGTGATGCTTCGATGAGATAAATAGCCTCGATGCTATTTGTGAAAGCCTTGAAACTAGATATGGTCTGCCATCCTGTAAGCATGCTTCGCATTCTCTACTATTGGCAGAGCACCATACCCTCAGTACATCGTCCATTAGCGTTCCTCGTCCGGGCCCAACCTCGATTATCTGCACCTTGTCTTTCCTTCCTTGGGCAAGCCACTCTGCGTATAGCCATATACCAATAAGCTCGCCAAATACCTGGCTGATCTCTGGCGATGTCACAAAGTCACCCTTTGTGCCAAATTGATCCTGTCCAGTCGATGTTTGTCTTGTGTAGTAACCGCCATCGGGGTGAGTGAGGCATTGTCGCATATACGCCGCTACCGAGATTGGACCTGTCGTCTGAAGCTAATGTTAGACTTGCTTTCATACTGGGAAGGGGACTCATACTGTAATAGCTTCAGCCAGCGTCTTCGCCAGCGGCGTCGACCATTGTCGTTCCGAGTCGGAAGATGTAGAGGCAGAAGTCGACGACCACCGGGAGGCACATTTCGTTATTCGGATCGACGTTTGTCGTGGTACCGATCGACAACACTGTGTCGCTGTCCGCAGTAGGTTCAGAGGTTTGGTCCTCATGTCGGTCTTGTTTATCGAAGCTCCATGACGTTGGCGCGTTCGGAACTACAGAAAGTTTAGATCGGAACGCCAACGTGAACGAAGCTATGACCACCATTTAACGATTCACACGTGCTATCGGTCGTCCAACCAGCGCCATCTACACGGAAACACACCAACCCGGTCCTTCTGGGAAAACCAAACCAACTTAACCTCAATACACGCCTTTGCACATAGATAATAGTGGAAGTCGGTCTCTTGGTCAGAAAGGAAAGAGAAAGAGCTATGGCATCACGATGGGCAAATGATGAAGCAGACAAAGCCGAGGAAGCGCGTCGGAAGAAAGAGAAAGAAGAGAAGAAACGCCTGAAGCTTCAGAAACATCAAGAGGCGGAAGCAGCCTCACGAACAACGCAAGAGGCGGAATCGAGACCTGCAAAGCGCAGGAGATTATCAACAGGCGACGATGACGAGGGAGCCGCAAAGCCCAAAGAAGAAGAGACCGAGAGGAAGCTCCTGCGATTTCAAGGCGGAGCTTGGAACCCTTGTCGACATATTTCCAACTTCGAGACCCTCAATCAGATCGAAGAAGGCTCATACGGCTGGGTCTCACGAGCGCGCGACATCACTACAGGCTCCGTGGTCGCCCACAAGAAAGTCAAAATGGACTACAACCAAGACGGTTTCCCTATCACCGCGCTACGAGAAATCTCCATCCTGCAACGCTGCAGACATGCCAATGTCGTTGATCTTCTGGAGGTTCTATCTGGTGACGACCCGCAAGAATGTATCCTGGTCATGGACTTCCTCGAACATGACCTCAAGACATTACAAGAAGACATGAGTGAGCCATTCATGGCAAGTGAAGTCAAGACATTGTTACGACAGTTGGTCTCTGGCGTCGGCTATCTGCATGAGAACTTCATCATGCACCGCGATCTCAAGACATCAAACATCCTACTCAACAACCGTGGCCAGCTGAAGCTTGCAGACTTTGGTATGGCACGATACATCCCGCCGGCGAACGCACCCCTCACACAACTGGTCGTCACGCTATGGTATCGTGCGCCTGAACTTCTACTAGGGACTCGAGATTACGGGACGGAAGTCGACATGTGGAGCGTAGGCTGTATATTCGGCGAACTGCTTGCAAAAGAGCCGTTACTACAAGGCAAGAACGAGGTCGACGAGCTCTCACTCATCTTCTCCCTTTGTGGTCTCCCATCAGAGAAGTCTTGGCCACAATTCTACCGCCTGCCCAACTCCAAATCACTAAAGCTACCGCGCGACCACCGCAACGCCCCAGGCTTCAACCGTGCAAAATTTCCCTTCTTGACAGCGTCTGGCATTGAACTCCTCTCTTCGTTGCTATCCCTGAATCCAGACCATAGGCCTACAGCGAAAGAAGTACTGGAGCATCCTTACTTCAGAGAGCAACCCAAGCCGAAACCGACCGAGATGTTTCCCACGTTTCCAAGCAAGGCCGGGCAGGAGAGGAGAAGGAAGAAGAGTCCGAATGCGCCAAAGAGAGGAGAGGCGCCCGGCATGCAGGGCAACGTGGATTTTAGTAGTATTTTCAAGGGCAGAGAGGAAGAAGAGAAGGGAGCAGGATTTCAGTTGAAGATGACCTGATTGATTGCGAAGACGCGTGGGCATGTAGGAAACTTCTTTCAAGGCAAGATGGACTTCGCCCAACTGAGCCTGCGACCGATTTCAATTAATGTATACCATTGGTCTGGCCAACCGAATAGTCCAACCGAGCTCCTACTTGACTGTGCGGATGCCTCTAGGCTTTTCCAGCCGACAATGAAGACAATCTTGCGTCTCTCATCTGCGGTCTCTGCTTCGACTCCGGTCGCTGCCATAGGAGCTATAGCTTGGACTCCTCCTTCCGCCGCCTGCACCCGCGCGACCTCCCCTCCTTGGTGGACTGTCCCGCCTGCCATAGCCTCCTCCCCCACTTCGTCTTGGTGGTGTTCTGGATGGCGAGCGACTGTAAGAAGAGCGCGATAGGCTTCGTCGTGGTGACCGGCTGCGAGAACGTGTGTACGACCGTGGCCGTCCTCCGTAGGCCCCTCGTCCACCACGACCGCCTCCGCCTCTGCCCCGACCCCAGTGTCCTCGATCGGGCGACATTCGACGCGGTGGAGATCGATAACGGCCATCCATAGGTGGTGGCCTGTACGCGCCAGGTGGGCCTCCGCCCCTCGGTCCCCGTCCACCGCGCCCATAGCCACCTTCGTAGTCGTCGCGTGGCGGCGGGCCTCTACGCGCGGGCGGAGGTGTCTGTGAGAAACGACGGCGGGGAAGGACAATGGAAACTTGAATCTTGGCTCCATCTAATTGTGCGTCGTGCATCTTCGCGATTGCGCGTTCGGCGTCGTCGATCTCCTCGTAGAGAATGTAGGCTATGCCGCGATTGATGTTGACTGTTCAATAGTCAGTCCTGCTCTATGGGGAGGTAGGGCGAAACATACAGGTGGGGTTCATGGGCATGGTGAGTTCCTTGATGACACCGTACTTTCCGAATATCTCCCGCACATGGTCTTCTTTGACGTTCCTGGTCAAGGCTTCCACTACGATCTGTTGGTGGGTCAGCGTGCTGGTGCAGGAAGGCTGAGGCAAGGCAGCTCTGAAAGTTGCGTCTAGCACAGGGAGTATGCTTACCTTTGCGCTTCTAGGTGCTGGCGACCGATCTCTTGGAGTCAAACTCCGGGAATAACTTCTACCTCTCGAGCGCGATCTGCTTTCTGGTGTGTAGCTCCGTCGCCCATTGCGCCGTGGAGACGGTGATGTCGGCGAGCGCGATCGAGTAATTGAACGAGACCGTGTAGGCGAGCGAGGGGTGACGGAGCGGCGCGGCGAGCCTGACTGCGCCGACCGAGGGCGGCTGGGTGATGTTGTGTGCGACGGGTCGCGAGAAGGGCTGCGCGTGCGCGAGCGTGCGGGAGATGGAGAACGAGATGGCATGTCTTGGCTGTCGCGCAATTTCAGTCGTAGCAGTGTCCTATTGCGTGCTCTTCAATGTACACTCGGTGGTTGGGCTTGTAGTTACTTTGTTGGTCATGTCTAACGCGACGTAACTTTTGGATGGTAGCTCCAAGCTTCAAGCTCGTCTTAGCGCTGGCACGTGACTAGCGGGACGTGTTCGCAAACAGCCATCACATAGTCAAGGGCCACGACAGGGAATAGATCGGCAATGTGGGAAGAGAATTGAATCGCCAGCTTGTACAAATTGCACAAGGTGCATGATGAAAAGCCAGTCGTCCCTCAAACTCCAGCTAATACGTTTTCATATCTGCCCCGGAGCTCGATTTGCGATGTCTGCAATTTCAACGTTTGCTTCCAAACAGGCCAGAGACGGGTTAAATAGTGGACGTGTGAAGGACCTGGACATGGACGGTTCCAGTGTCCGCTCTTGCGTGACTGTTGGATCGACTGCTGAATTGCCAGCACTCTGACCCGCTATCCGTCCTCGACCCCAGAGCGCGGCGGATACTAGGCGGGTATCGCGGTGGGCATAGCTAAATGCGGCGCGCTCAGTGCCGTCGCGTTAGGCATCGAGGGCAGTGGTGACCCCCACCAAGTAAGCAGCTGCATGATAGCGCAAGGAGGACGCGTGACGGGTCGTCAGATTAGAAGCTCAGAGGTTTGCGTGCTGGAATTGGAGGAGTGAATTGCGTCCGTTAGATTTCATCGCGAGAGGCGGGGTCAAAACAGCCCCACTATCAAATCGCAACTTTAGCCCAACAACGCAGCCTTGAACACCCTCACCGCATTTACCCTCTTGCTCTGCTTAGTCAAAAGTACCTGCATCTACTTCGCCGCATCCCTCTTCATCTTCCCATCACCACAAGCTTCCACAGCACGCACATCAACCCTCCGCAACCATGTCCTGGCAAGGTGAGCAGCTCGAGGCGTCGAGTTTGGAAGGTCCTGGCTAACTTTGGGCGCAGAATACGTTGACACCAGGTACATCAAGCCTCCCAATATATCACCTGTCCATGACTAACGTTATCACAGCCTCGTCGGCACTGGTAACATCGACAAGGCCCTCATCTGCGACATCGAGGGCTCGACTGCCTGGGCCGCCTCCGCCGACTTCTCGGTAAGTCGTCCGATACAATACGCGCCGGACACAGCGAGCACTCCAGAATCAAAGCTCCGGTGGCGCATAAACAATAGATTGGTGTTGACCAATTACAGCTGTCCGCCGAGGAAAGGGCTGCCATCGCCAAATCCTTCAACGACAAGTCAGAGCCCAAGAAGGTCATCTCGGAAGGTGTCAAGGTCAACGGTGTCAAGTACATGACCATCGAGGCAAGCGACGACTCGCTCAAGGCGAAGAAGGTAGGTGCCAGACATTGCCCACCATGAAGTGTTCAAGCACTGACAACAACCCCAGGGAAAAGAGGGCATCGTCGCTTTCAAGACTACCCAAGCCGTTATCATCGCCCACCACCCTGACACCATCCAGACTCCCAACGCCTTCAACTCCGTAGTTGAGCTCGGCGAGTACCTGAAGAAGCACGGAATGTAAAGCGCCTTCGATTCGAGCCTGTTTGTACTTTAGGGATATTTGCATAACCGAGTTGCGGAGCGATGGATGGCATCATGGGCGACTGCTCATGGACATATATATGATTGACGATGGATGAAATAGCGGCATTGGAGGATCCTCTTCGATACAATGACAACTCTCAACCCCTAAACCAGAACCTTGTTTGTTGCAGGTCCCAAAGAGTACTGTGCATCTCGCCGCCGAACATGCCAGTCTAGCTTCACATGTTGACTACAACAGCGACAAGAGACAAGCACACCGGAGCACATGTATGATCAAGCGCATTCACATCATTTCATGATGGGGCATAGACGTAACAAGCATGGGTCAGATATGTTCATGGTGTCCTAGCGATCAATGAGAGAGAAAATGCCTAAAGGCCCTTCATACACGCCAACTTCTTCACGACCTTTTCTCCAAATGCCTCCTGTAACTGGGCAGCAACAACCTCTCTCTTCTCATCTGCATTCTCATCGAGATCAAACGCGGTAGGCCCTTGCAAACAAGCCCTGATAACACCCTCCACCGTGTTACCTAGATAACTCTTCACGCCCCGTAGATGTTGTGGTTCCGTCTGTAGTAACCTTTTCTCCACAGCCCACGTATGCTTAGGCCGCGCCTTTTCAAGATCGATAGACAGAATCCGGTCAATGGTTTTCCAGTAAGCGATCTCCAGCAGTACGATACCGAGCGAGTAAAGGTCGAAAGACTTCTTGTAAGACTCACGACCGCCGGCATCTTCGCGGTTTCCTCTATGCTGTACAGACGGATGACGATAGATGTCTGCAGCGGGATTGTCAAGAGGACGTTCAGTCATATCATCGCTGGTTGCCGGACGAGAATAGTCGAAACCACTAATCAGAGGATCCGCGTAGTTGACCTCGCCGTGCGTGACCTGACCGTTTTCAACTCTTCCTCCCTTCTTCGGAAAGAGGAGGATGTTGGCCGAGCGTAGGCCCTTGTGAAGCCAATCCACCGCATGGAGACGTTCAACTGTCTCGGTAAGAAGTCTCATGAGTGTGATACGGTCAGTGAGCGAAGGTATATCGTTCTCGGGGTTTGCGATGAGTGCGTGTAGAGATGTCGGTTCAGTGTCCGCCGGGACGGACGCGGGCTTTTCGAAGACTAGCCCGAAACGTCCTTCGTCCTCGTCGATAAAGTAGCCTCGGCAGAAGGGTGCTCTAAACCGGACTGTTCTGTTGTGCTTACTGAGTAAGGCGGCCAGTTTCTTGACGCGAGCGTGGATCTTGGCGTCCACAGCACCATCCTGCTGCATGGGACCCGTGGTATCGGGTGATTTCCATTCTATCCACACAGGTGTGTTCTTGTAGTATGCCTCCGTGCGTACACCTTCATCAATCTCCAGGGGAAATTGACTGCCTAGCTTAGGGCGTATGTCCATGTACTGGAGCTGGGTATCACGAATGTCCTTTGGAAGATCTGGCATGTTGATCTTTTCTGCATAGCTTGTGGTAAGATCTTCGTGAGAGTCTTCGATAGCAAGGTGAATGAAGTTTTGCTGGGCTAAAGCAGCAAGAGGCTGACGGGCGGCACCACGAGCTGCGACGGCACCACTGTCCATCATACCATCGTATTCGGAATCTTCCATCTCTATCAGTGAATAAGCCCTTCGAAAGCCAATCTGTTCTGATTGCTGGGATTGGTAGATTTGAACCATGTGCGACATCGTCCTGTTCAGCAAGACTATTTGGTCATTTGTACGCGTCTGCATATCGATGAGCAGGTCTACTTGAGCTTTGTCGAGCGCTTCGTGCATCTTGTCGTTGAAGTCGGCCAGTCTCGCGATTAGCTTCTCCATCTTGAGGTGATCGAATACAGCCCATTTGAGCCTCTTTGGTACATCCTTGAACTGTTGCACGAATTTGAGGGACATTTTTACCAGCTCGTCAGTAGGCGGGAACCGGACAGACCTTGCATTCCCTTCACCAGAGCCGTTGGTATCGTCTTCGATCAGGCGATCAAAATTTTGTAGGACGAATGCTTCAGCTGCTTCCTCTAGGAGAGGCTCTGTAAGTCTCTCGTACTTCTTGTCTAGTCGGCCGAATGAGAAGAGAAGCTTTTGTTGTTGCTCCATGATGTTGATAATGAGGCCTTTCGACATGTGATTCAGGACCAGTTTGTCGTCTCGATAATCGAGCTGTACAAGCTTTGCCCAGTTGAGAAGTCGATGTTCTTCCACTTTGAAGTTGACCAGAAGCGCTTGGCAGTCTTTGCGAAGATGACAAGCATCTGCGATCAGTTCGTAACCTAATCAAGATTATTAATGCATCTTCAGGCGTAGGTCAATGGGTATGCCAACCTTGGATACATCCCGCAAACACCTGGAAGAAGAAGGATACACCTCCGATAGCCAACTCTGCCATCTCCAAGGCTGTTCGGAGTAACCTTTGAAAGGGACAGCTGGACGGTCTCGCCGAGAGAGGAAAGCAATGAGATGAACGCAGACTTGGAGAATTACTCAAGGGTAAGCAGCGATATTTCTACCAAACCTTCATGGCGACATGAGAGCATAGCACGCCGCGATGCAGGCGCGCAACCTGATCTGTAACCAACACTGCCCCGTGGCCTTGAGCTGAAGGCCGTCATCACGTCCCAGACCAATCCAGGAGGCTGGAATAGTGGGGTCCGGTAAGGGTAACAGCGCGATGGCGTTTTGCGATACATGACGAAGGCTGCAATCGTGGCTGAGGAGCGTTCTGCTGAACTCGTTAGGTGCAGCAGAGACATCACCTGGAGGTGATAGGCTGTCGGGTGTATGCCTCGAGGAAAGCCGCGGCCCGCACAGCCACGCTAAGAAGCCACGCGAACATGGACCCTGGTCGACGCGTCGCATGCTGCCACCCATTTGCTCACCACCAAACCAGTGACAGGCGAACCGGTCACCAGAGCTACGACGGGCATCTGGCCCCCCGGAAATGCTTCTCGAGCATCTGAATCCTTGGTATCGCCCCGCATCAGAGTTCGAGCCAACGCCCTTCATCGCCCTCTTCTTCCGAGCTCCCGTCAAGCTACTCCTCTACCATGCATACCACCTTATCACATGTCTGCGCTCAACCCCGAAGCCTCTACAACGCCCACCCATTCGAGTCGTTTGCATATCCGATACGCACAATTTGATACCGGAAGATGTACCGGAAGGCGATCTGCTCATCCACGCTGGTGACATGACGAATGACGGAAGTGTGGCGGAAA